GGGGTCGACGTCGCAATCGATCGTATAAGATGGGACGGGGGTCCTTGTAGCGAGGAGCATTGGATGAATGCTACGGGCGACCTCTTTGCTATTGCTACACTGTTCAATGCAGTTGTCGTGTTGTTAAGCTATGGTCCCAACGATAACAATATGGACATGGCTTGTATGACGGTATTCTCGATCCGCGCACCATCCACGGCTACACGACCTGACTGTGAGATCGTCATAGGTCATCTTGGTTCCTACTCGCACTTCATTCGTATCAATCTGTGTTCTGATTCTCCATTACCGCCTTTGTGTTTTTTTTGGTAGAAATACCGAGATGTTTCGGTTCGAGATTGGCCGTATCAGTACCAGAGCAGGTTCCAGATGTGGAATGATATTCGTACTGCCGCTGGAATTTGATATATTGTGATATTCGACTTATTTCTGCGGTTTTTTATTTTTAAATTTTATTTTCATGCGTTACGAGTGATAGATTGTGATATCTCGCTGTGTCTACCGTTTCACGTGATATAATGGGAGAATTTTTTGTTTAGATGAAAATAAAATTAACTAACCAAAAAAAAAAAAAAAAAACAATTCGGGTGGTTTCTGAGAACATCCAAAACAAAATATATAAAAAAAAGTAATTATTACATCACTACTGCGCTCTGTCGAAATCGAACCTCAACTGAGCCAGTTTTTCTGCATAAATTGCCGCCCTATCAAGAGCAAGTGTCGCGATCTCTTGATGCATATCTGATGAAAGGGACATGGACCGTCCGACCCACTACACAAAGCACAAGGAAAATATATACACATAATTAAAATATAAAAAATAATTGTAATGAACGAATACTAACTAAATTTAATAAACGACTTACGTAATCTGTGTTGGCGCGCGCAGGGACAGCCTCGTTGTCCGCCTGACTGTCGGGCAAGAGTCTAGGATGAGAATATCGCTCATACCATCGCTGGTAGTCCTCATGGGCCGCCCCTAGATCATCTGCGGTGGTGGGAGTACAATCAGACAAGCGTACAGAATGCAATACCGGGAACTGATCCCAGTGATCTACTGCAGCGTCCGATGCATGCTCAACCCTGTACATCCTAGCATTCCAACCACGAAATACCGTGATCGGACGATCCATGCGGGGAGGGATCGTCTGGACGTAGCCCAACTGACGCAAGAAACGCATAGGCATGTACGGCTCCACAATATCCCGGTATCTAAGGCATCCGTAATAAAGGGTCCTAGGCTCCTGCAAATGTGGGTTGGGGCCGTATGGCAGCCAGTTTACCTGTTCACAATTGCATAAAACATTTATTCAAACAATTCGAGTATTCTAAATAACTTTCAAGTGAATGTAATAAAATAACTTAACGTACCTCGGCGGCTGTGAGTCTGTCAAGCTGCCTACGGAAATGCTTGAGGCGCTTATCTGAGTTATCTGGGACGGGGGTCCTCCACAAGGCTGATCGGGCCAAGCTGTCAGGCTCGGAGGCCATACGCGAACCGGCGGGTCGGAATGTGGGAAAGTACTCGTATATCCAGGACTGCATGAGAGTCAAGCAGCCTGCCACTCCCCCCGACTCCCCCCTGCTGGCCATACCTAAATGTCTGAATAGGTATGCCAGTGCGGCCGAGCCCCACGAGTAAGTCCCAACACTCTGCAGGTCCTCCATCATCTCATGCAGGATCTTGGGACTGACCCTGTTACCACTCTTGTCTGTAAACAAGGTGGTAGCGAGCCGCACCCACAGCCAGCCAATCGCCACATGCTCAGCCGACCGACCTGCGCCATTCTTCTCCAACGCAGTAAAAACGGCTTCATTCATCACCGAGCCGTGACCCCAAAACTTCGTTGTCAGCGTTGCCTGGTCCACCCCCAGGAGCTCCATGCAGTGCGCTTGCTGTGTCAAGGTGTCGGGGTCCCCTGTGACTACCGCACCCTCGACAGAAACCCCTAATATCGCCCTCACGTCGTGAAACATGATACTCATTTCACCAAAAGGCAGGTGAAACGAGTTGGTATCCAGCTGCCAGCGCTCCACAAATGCTGAAATAAGAGGAGTGTCGATGTGGTCATGCATGCTGGACGCCAAATGTGACATCCCCGGTCGGACGGATCAGATCTAGCGGAGCCTCAGCCATCTGTCCGAGCCACTCCCTCAAAACACCGTTCGCTGACATCCTGTTTTGGCACTTCAACGTGCCTCTAACACGTCCTGTCCAAATCCGGGAGGCTACGTGCCCTAGAAAACTAGGGATAACAGTCCCGTCAAAGGGGCCACCGGGTACTGGGGCTTTAACAAGCCAGTCGTCACACTTAGTGCGTTTGCTACTCGCCCCTATATTATAATAGAACAATCAATATATATACGACATATTGTAATTGATTGTATCAATGATGCGATGTTATTAAATAAAATAATATCTAATGGTAAACAACAATAAGTACGTAATTTATTTACCTGAAGATGAGGCAGCGCTCGTATAACGACCCCCAGCCTGTCGTGGAGGATCAACTCGGCCGAGTCGTTTAGCTGGACGTGCCTGTGGCTGAGTCTGTGGCTGCTCAGCTACATCAAAGTAATCATCATAAGCCTGCTCGTCATCATTATATGTCTGCTCGTCATCATCATAGGCCTGCTCGTCCTCATCATAGGCCTGCTCGTCCTCATCATCATCATCATCATTGTCATCATCATGCCTCGAACTCCTGACTGTCGACTCAATGGAGTCCCGCCGACGAACAATACGTATAGACGGGAGACGTCCAGAACTGCTAGGCCTCACTGACAAGGACTGCTGACCACTCCAACTGCCAGACATGAATGGGCCAGACTGAGGCATGAGTGGGCCAGACTGCTGACCACTCCAACTGCCAAGCATGAGTGGGCCAGACTGAGGCATGACTGGGCAAAACTGCTGACCACTCCAACTGCCAGACATGAGTGGGTCAGACTGAGGCATGACTGAGCCTGACTGAGGCATGACGGGGCCATACTGCTGACCACTCCAACTGCCAGGCATGAGTGGGCCAGACTGAGGCATGACTGGGCCACACTGCTGACCACTCTGTATCGGACTAACATGATGTCTCGAAGTACCAGCCTGGGCAGTCTGTACCCTGCGAGCATGAAGACGCATCTGTTCCTTCTCCCGCCGAACGGAAGCATTCATATTACGACTGGATGTGTGTCGGGGTCCAGAACCCTCGAACTCGGGAACATACTCATTAGCCTAAATCAAAAATTTTAAACTAATAATTAGTATACATATTAATATATTTATTTTTTAATAATATATTTTTAATATTTTTTCATTAATCATATATATAATAATATATATGAAATTAATTAAATTGCTACTATTTATACATTTTTT